TCGTGTCTAAAGCACATGGATGTACATCACTTGCTAGACTATTCCATTTCCTGACAACTCTATGACTGAAGAAATACTTCCTAACATCCCTTTGACTCGTCTCAGTCTTCAGCTTCCAATTGTGACCCCTTGTTTCTGTGTTCCATCTCTGGAACATCCTGCCTCTGTCCACCTTATCTATTCCACGCAGTATCTTGTATATCATTATCATGTCTCCCCTGACTCTTCTGTCCTCCAGTGTCGTCAGTCCGATTTCCCTCAACCTTTCATCTTAGGACATTCCCCTGAGCTCTGGAACTAGCCTTGTTGCAAACCTTTGTACTTTCTCTAAGTTCTTGTCGTGTGTGCACGTTTGTGTGTGTGTGTGTGTGTGTGTGTGTGTGTGTGTGTGTGTGTGTGTGTGTGTGTGTGCGTGTGTGTGTGTGTGTGTGTGTACTCACCTAGTTCTCACCTAGTTGAGGTTGCAGGGGTCGAGTCCGAGCTCCTGGCCCCGCCTCTTCACTGATCGCTACTAGGTCACTCTCCCTGAACCGTGAGCTTTATCATACCTCTGCTTAAAGCTATGTATGGATCCTGCCTCCACTACATCGCTTCCCAAACTATTCCACTTACTGACTACTCTGTGGCTGAAGAAATACTTCCTAACATCCCTGTGAATCATCTGTGACTTCAACTTCCAACTGTGTCCCCTTGTTACTGTGTCCAATCTCTGGAACATCCTGTCTTTGTCCACCTTGTCAATTCCTCTCAGTATTTTGTATGTCGTTATCATGTCCCCCTTATCTCTCCTGTCCTCCAGTGTCGTCAGGTTGATTTCCCTTAACCTCTCCTCGTAGGACATACCTCTTAGCTCTGGGACTAGTCTTGTTGCAAACCTTTGCACTTTCTCATGTTTCTTTACGTGCTTGGCTAGGTGTGGGTTCCAAACTGGTGCCGCATACTCCATTATGGGCCTAACGTACACGTCGTACAGGGTCCTGAACGATTCCTTATTAACATGTCGGAATGCTGTTCTGAGGTTTGCCAGGCGCCCATATGCTGAAGCAGTTATTTGGTTGATGTGCGCTTCAGGAGATGTGCCTGGTGTTATACTCACCCAAGATCTTTTTCCTTGAGTGAGGTTTGTAGTCTCTGGCCCCCCTAGACTGTACTCCGTCTGCGGTCTTCTTTGCCCTTCCCCAATCTTCATGACTTTGCACTTGGTGGGATTGAACTCCTGGAGCCAATTGCTGGACCAGGTCTGCAGCCTGTCCAGATCCCTTTGTAGTTCTGCCTGGTCTTCGATCGAGTGAATTCTCATCAACTTCACGTCATCTGCAAAAAGGGACACCTCAGAGACTATTCGTTCCGTCATGTCGTTCACAAATACCAGAAACAGCACTGGTCCTAGGACTGACCCCTGTGGGACCCCGCTGGTCACAGGTGCCCACTCTGACACCTCGCCACGTACCATGACTCGTTGCTGTCTTCCTGACAAGTATTCCCTGATCCATTGTAGTGCCTTCCCTGTTATCCCTGTTTGGTCCTCCAGTTTTTGCACCAATCTCTTGTGTGGAACTGTGTCAAACGCCTTCTTGCAGTCCAAGAATATGCAATCCTCCCACCCCTCTCTCTCTTGTCTTACTGCTGTCACCATGTCACAGAACTCCAGTAGGTTTGTGACACAGGATTTCCCGTCCCTGAAACCATGTTGGCTGCTGTTGATGAGATCATTCCTTTCTAGGTGTTCCACCACTCTTCTCCTGATAATCTTCTCCATGATTTTGCATACTATACATGTCAGTGACACTGGTCTGTAGTTTAGTGCTTCATGTTTGTCTCCTTCTTTAAAGATTGGGACTACATTTGCTGTCTTCCATGCCTCAGGCAATCTCCCTGTTTCGATAGATGTATTGAATATTGTTGTTAGGTGTACACATAGTGCTTCTGCTCCCTCTCTCAATACCCATGGGGAGATGTTATCTGGCCCCATTGCCTTTGAGGTATCTAGCTCACTCAGAAGCCTCTTCACTTCTTCCTCGGTTGTGTGCACTGTGTCCAGCACATGGTGGTGTGCCCCACCTCTACGTCTTTCTGGAGCCCCTTCTGTCTCCTCTGTGAACACTTCTTTGAATCTCTTGTTGAGTTCCTCACATACTTGACGGTCATTTCTTGTTGTCTCTCCTCCTTCCTTCCTTAGCCTGATTACCTGGTCCTTGACTATTGTTTTCCTCCTGATGTGGCTGTATAACAGTTTCGGGTCAGATTTGGCTTTCGCTGCTATGTCATTTTCATATTGTATTTGGGCTTCCCTTCTTATCTGTGCATATTCGTTTCTGGCTCTACGACTGCTCTCCTTATTCTCCTGGGTCCTTTGCCTTCTATATTTCTTCCATTCCCTAGCACACTTGGTTTTTGCCTCGCTGCACCTTTGGGTGAACCTTGGGCTCATCCTGGCTTTTTCATTATTAATGTTACCCTTGAGTACAAACCTCTCCTCAGCCTCCTTGCATTTTGTTGCTACATATTCCATCATCTCATTAACTGGCTTCCCTGCCAGTTCTCTGTCCCACTGAACCCCGTTCAGGAAGTTCCTCATTCCTGTGTAGTCCCCTTTCTTGTAGTTTGGCTTCATTCGTCCTGGCCTTCCTGCTTCTCTCTCCACTTGTAGCTCTACTGTGTGTTTGTTTGTGTGTGTGTGTGTGTGTGTGTGTGTGTGTGTGTACTCACCTAATTGTACTCACCTAATTGTGGTTGAAAGGGTCGAGACTCAGCTCCTGGCCCCGCCTCTTCACTGATCGCTACTGGATCCTCTCTCTCTCTGCTTCCTGAGCTTTGTCATACCTCTTCTTAAAACTATGTATGGTTCCTGCCTCCACTACTTCACTTGCTAGGCTATTCCACTTGCTGACAACTCTATGACTGAAGAAATACTTCCTAACGTCCCTGTGACTCGTCTGAGTCTTCAGCTTCCAGTTGTGACCCCTTGTCCCTGTGTCCCCTCTCTGGAACATCCTATCTCTGTCCACCTTGTCTATTCCCCGCAGTATCTTGTATGTCGTTATCATGTCTCCCCTGACCCTTCTGTCCTCCAGTGTCGTCAGTCCGATTTCCCTTAACCTTTCCTTGTACGACATTCCCTTGAGCTCTGGGACTAGCCTTGTTGCAAACCTTTGTACTTTCTCTAACTTCTTGACGTGCTTGACCAGGTGTGGGTTCCAGACTGGTGCTGCATACTCCAGTATGGGTCTAACATACACAGTGTACAGTGTCTTGAACGATTCCTTATTAAGGTATCAGAACGCTATTCTCAGGTTTGCCAGGCGCCCGTATGCTGCAGCGGTTATTTGGTTGATGTGTGCCTCCGGTGATGTGCTCGGTGTTATGGTCACCCCAAGGTCTTTCTCCCTGAGTGAGGTCTGTAGTCTTTGTCCACCTAGCCTATATTCTGTCTGCGGTCTTCTTTGCCCCTCCCCAATCTTCATGACTTTGCATTTGGCTGGATTGAATTCGAGGAGCCAGTTACTGGACCACATGTCCAGCCTCTCCAGGTCTCTTTGCAGTCCTGCCTCATCCTCGTCCGATTTAATTCTTCTCATCAACTTCACGTCATCTGCGAACAGGGACACTTCAGAGTCTATTCCTTCCATCATGTCGTTCACATATATCAAAAATAGCACTGGTCCTAGAACTGACCCCTGAGGGACCCCGCTCGTAACAGGCGCCCACTGTGATACCTCTTCACGTACCATGACTCGTTGCTGCCTCCCTGTCAGGTATTCCCTTATCCATTGCAGTGCCCTTCCTTTTACGTGTGCCTGATCCTCCAGCTTCTGCACTAATCTCTTGTGGGGAACTGTGTCAAAGGCCTTCCTGCAGTCTAGGAAAACGCAATCTACCCAACCCTCTCTCTCGTGTCTTACTTCTGTTACCTTGTCATAAAACTCCAGGAGGTTTGTGATACAAGATTTGCCTTCTATGAGCCCATGCTGGTTTTCATTTATAATCTTGTTCCTTTCCAGGTGTTCGACCACTCTCCTCCTGATAATCTTCTCCATGACTTTGCACACAATACATGTCAGAGACACAGGTCTGTAGTTTAGTGCCTCGTTTCTGTTTCCTTTCTTAAATAGGGGGACTACATTAGCTGTCTTCCATTTCTCAGGTAGTTGCCCAGTTTCAAGGGATGGTTGAAGATTGTGGTTAGAGGCACACACAGCATCTCTGCTCCTTCTCTAAGGACCCATGGGGAGATGTTGTCCGGTCCCATCGCCTTTGAGGTGTCAAGGTCACTTAAGAGCTTCTTCACCTCCTCCTCAGTTGTTCGTATGTCATCCAACACTTGTTGGTATATTCCCTCTTGATGTTCCCTTCTGTGCTGTCTTCCCACAGCATTTCCTGTCTCTACTGTAAAAACTTCCTTAAATCTCCTGTTCAGCTCCTCACATACCTCCTGATCATTTCTTGTGAGTTTCCACCTTCTGTCCTTAATCTGATCACCTGGTCTTTGACTGTTGTCTTCCTCCTGATGTGGCTATACAACAGTTTCGGGTCAGTCTTGATTCTCGATGCTATGTCTTTTTCATACTGTCGCTGGGCCTCCCTCCTTACCTGTGCGTACTCATTCCTGGCTCTGCGACTGATCTCCCTATTTTCGTGTGTTCTCTGCCTTCTGTACTTTTTCCATTCTCTATTGCACTTTGTTTTTGCCTCCTTACACCGTCGGGTGTGTGTGTGTGTGTGTGTGTGTGTGTGTGTGCGTGCGTGTGTGTGTGTGTGTGTGTGTGTGTGCGTGTGTGTGTGTGTGTGTCGTGCCGAATAATGTAAAACTTACGATTTTGGTTTAACTAACAGCTCTCTTCTTGCCGAATAAGACAAGCGAAAATTTGTGTATGCAATAATTTCACAAAAATCATTCTGAACCAACGAAAAAAAAATTCATTGTCTGCTTATTATTAAATTATTGTAAACTTAAATATATACATATATATGGATTAATTCCTTTTATATACTACTGGCAGCTTCGTAGTACCTGCAGCTTACGATGATGGTTGGAACATGAGTTGGTTGTATGATGGCGTTGCCAGCATTTGGTCACACTGGCTACCAGAAGAAGTCAATGCTGATATAAAGCTTGGTGGTTTCTTTTCCTACTCGCCTCTGCCAGGTCTTCGAGTTGTATCTATCAATATGAACTTCTGTAATACTGAAAACTGGTTAGTTTTTTAGTCTATTCATTTTTATATGTATGCTATGAACTGCATAAGAATAAGTCTCCAAATCACCTGTTCTATAATGAAAAATAAAATTATTTTTTTTTGTAAGGATTATGCACACATATATACATCTCATTGACAGATTCTCTTTCTTAATGATATGAGTATTGTGGGCATCTCGGTAAACAGGGAAATGCCTCTTTACGGTATGTATATCAAACTAAAGTATATTTTCCAATATATATATGTATAAAAACTTTTATGTAATAAGCCTACCCTAGCCAGCCTACCCAGAAGAACTGCTAAACACTAACAACTAAATACTTTTAGTAGTTATAGACTACATAGATAAGAGAGGAATTGTAAAGTATTGTAAATCACCACAACCATGAAAATCTGTGTAATCTGCAGAAAGGGTAATAGATGAAGTCATGCCTCATTTGCATGCAGTCTGTGGTAAATGGTCCCATGGGTCATGCACGAACTTTGAACTAAGGACCCCTTTTGATATAAAATCAGAGAAATATTTCTGTGTCTGAGCAAACGAAATACACCTGTATGAGAAAATTACATTTGTATTAAAAGACAAGAACAATAACAAAATATCCTTCTTGAAAGACATGTCAGCTTGGTATAACAGCTGGGAAAATAAAATGGGTGGGTTGGATGGGGCTATCCTAGAGGACACTGCTTTAGAGGGTGCTAGTGCTGTCGTGGAGAACAATGCACTAAATGGAGATAGTGGTCCTGGTTATGAAACAGGTAAAGACAACGTTATTCAATTTACGGAGGTACAAAGTAGCGATATTGGAACAAAAGGGGATGATGCCTCAGGGAATAGTGATGCTTCAGGTAATAGTGATGCTTCAGGTAATAGTGATGCTTCAGGTAATAGTGATGCTTCAAGAAATAGTGTTGACACATTACCAGTAAAAACTGTTGGAAGCACTGATGTCCACACAGTCGCGGTGGATAGTGGGGAAGCAGAAAAAAAAATGCACCATCAGGGAAAGCAGCCATAAAAAATCCTAGCAACAAAATTGTAATCTATGCAAATTCTAAGCCTTGGGTATCAGCAGGCATGGTATATCCGGAAAACAGGTGGGACATGCACCTTTGACCATCCTAAAAATGCCACACTCACATGATAAAAGGAGGGTGCAACTCCCTTCCTGTAACTTATTTCACCCCGAAACATGTCACTCTTCAGTCCATGAAAGAAAATGCTACAACGTATACAGCCAGGGATATTATCTAAAGGGGACAAGAAGACACAGACCAGCCAGACTATGGGAAACAAAAGAGGGGAGCCATAACCTCTCTAGAGAAGGCTTTCTAGTGCCAGGAAGAAAAAAAATGACTGGCAAGACATGACAGAAATCTTACACCAACTGAAAACACTTCTGGAGTTGAGGCACAGTCATTGACCTCACTCCAGAACAACAGATATCAATGCCAGCAAATAAAAAAACCCTAAATTTCATCCACTTCCACTCTCACCACGACACCAAAACTAAACGTCGTGTAATTATAGGCTTTTTACTGCGCACTCAGAATCTGCAGCAATGAGTTCCTTGAGGAAGAATGCACTATAATTAAACAAATATTTTCCAAATCTCACTATCCTCGTCACTTCATCAGAGACTGCAGACGACGGGCATTAAACATTTGTCTTTTCAAACAGACTTCTCATGGAGTCGAATGCAGTGATTGCAACTTTCACAGAGACCCACATAAAGAATCATTTTGACAACGAGATTTGGATCCCAAGTTATAACCTATTCATCAGATGCGACAGACTAAACAGGCAACAAGGAGGTGTTGGCTTGTACGGCAGAGTCGCTCATTTTATTCAGAACTGCTAAACATCTCAAATGTAGTTGAAGATTTGGCAATCAAGATTGAAGACCAAAACCTTTCCATTGTGCTTGTATGCAAGCCTCTGGATGCAATTACCCCGCAGTTTCAGGAACAGCTTTTGAAAATTGACCACTCTCTGGAAAATCTTCCAACTCATGCTCCAAACATCTTGCTACTGGAAGATTTGAATTTCAGACACCTAAAATGGAGGTGTGTAGCAAATAAGATTTAAGCAGAGAGAGCTCAGATGAAAATATAACCGTATCAAATACAATACACTCAGATCACAACAAAATAGAGGTACAGACATGTATGCATAGGGCTCCTGACCATCAAAATTTGATCATAGTCATGAGGGTGTCTTCACAAAAATCAACTTCAGTAACAAAAACATACAATGGGAACAAGTTAACAATGTCCTAAATGTACAAAGCTGGAAAGATATCCTATACAACACGGATCCAAACCATTGCCTAGAAAAAATTTAACTCTGTGGTACTTGAAGTCTGCTCAAGGCACATTCCATTAAGAAACAGAAAAAGAAGATGTAAAATAGAATGAGAGAGATGCTCCCTATACAAACGAAGGCGATGAATCACAACTACTGAGAGGGGCCAATATCGAGCGTTTTTCCACCATTATTCCCTCGTCTGTCATCTGGCTCCGTTATGTTGACGACATTCTCATCATAACTCCCAGACGCTTCAACGTTCAAGCTCTCCAACACAAGCTCAACCAGGTCGAGCCCTTAATCCAGTTCACATTAAAAGAAGAAGTCGACAGCACTTTTCTTTTCCTTGATGTTCTTCTCTGCAAAGCTGACCATGAACTTCGTTTTAAAGTCTATCGAAAACCTACCAACCAACACGATCTTCTCTTCTACTCTCACTACGACACCAAAACTAAACGTGGTGCAATTATAGGCTTTTTCCTGCGCGCACTCAGAATCTGCAGCAATGAGTTCCTTGAGGAAGAATGCACTATAATTGAACAAGCATTTTCCAAATCTCACTATCCTCGTCACTTCATCAGAGACTGCAGACGACGGGCATTAAACATTTTCAACACACCCAGAGAAGACACTGCCGAGAAGAGGTACATAGTCCTCCCTCCCCACCAACTCCATTGTCAAACACGTTTCCAATATCTTTTCTAAAACCTCATTCCAAGTATCTACCTCCACATCCACCACCATCATGGACATTACCAGTAATAGACAGGACAAGCTTCAATTCTCTGCAGGGGTATACAAAATTCCTTGTAATGACTGCAGCAAATTGTACGTCGGCTAAACATCCAGAGACCTCCGAACACATTTCAGAACACCAGTAGGCAGGCAGATCTGAAGATCCAAGGAATGCCTGTGTTCAACACCAATATTCACACAACCATTTAATCAACTACAGAAACGCAAGACTTATCGCTAGAGAAGTCAACACTCAGTACCGAAGAATCCTGGAATCATCACGTATCTGTACATGCAACAACTTCAACCAGAACAACGGCTTCTATAACATAGCTGAACCTCTTGCCAAAAAACTTCATTGTTATCCCACATAAGAACATAAGAATCGAGGAACACTGCAGAAGGTCTGCTCATATACTTACCCAATCTTTTTTAAAAGCTACCCAAGTTTTTAGACTCTGTCACTCTACTCGGAAGATTGTCACATGCAGCTTTCTCCACCTGACCAAGCATTCTCATCCTATAAATACTCACGTATGTTTCACCCAGGTAGATCTGTCTGTGACTTCATAAAGCCCATTGCGTCGGCGAAACGTTGTCAATAAAGGATCACATTATGCTGTATGTGTGTTTATATTTCCGTAATAATGCACAAAATGCGTGATAAACAAATAATTGGAAAAGTTGGTAGATGGATCTTTAACTTCCAAACTAATAGAACACAGAGAGTAATAGTAAACAGAGTAAAGTCTGAAGCAGCTACGGTGAAAAGCTCTGTTCCACAAGGCACATTACTCGCTAAAATCCTATTCCTCATCCTCATATCTGACATAGACGGAGATATCTTCCTTTTGTGGATAACACCCGAATTGCCATGACAAGTGTCCTAAATCGAGGACACTGCAAAACTCCAAGCAGACATCAACCAAATCTTCAAATTTGCCACTCAAAACAATGTGAAATTCAATGAAGAGAAATTTCAAATACTCAGTGTGTGGAAAACTTGAGGAAATTAAAAACTGTATCAGGGTATACAACAAATTCTAACCATACAATAGAGCGAAAAAGTAATGTGAAGGACCTGGGAAAATTAATGCCACAGGATTTCAGCTTCAAAGACCAGAACAATCGCTTTTTCTCTCTAGGCTGGAATACTGCTGTGCACTAACTGCCCCATCAAGGCAGGCGAAATTGCGGATCTGTAGGGCGTACAAAGAACTTTCACGGCACACATAAGTACGATAAGGCCCCGAAATTACTGGGAACGGTTGACGTCCCTTGATTTGTATTCCCTGGAATGCAGGCGAGAAAGATACATGATAATATACTCTACGAAAATCCTAGAGGGATTAGTATCAAACTTGCACACGAAAATCACTCCCTACGAAAGCAAAAGACACATTACCAGTAAAAACTGTTGGAAGCACTGATGTCCACACAGTCGCGGTGGATAGTGGGGAAGCAGAAAAAAAAATGCACCATCAGGGAAAGCAGCCATAAAAAATCCTAGCAACAAAATTGTAATCTATGCAAATTCTATGCCTTGGGTATCAGCAGGCATGGTATATCCGGAAAACAGGTGGGACATGCACCTTTGACCATCCTAAAAATGCCACACCCACATGATAAAAGGAGGGTGCAACTCCCTTCCTGTAACTTATTTCACCCCGAAACATGTCACTCTTCAGTCCATGAAAGAAAATGCTACAACGTATACAGCCAGGGATATTATCTAAAGGGGACAAGAAGACACAGACCAGCCAGACTATGGGAAACAAAAGAGGGGAGCCATAACCTCTCTAGAGAAGGCTTTCTAGTGCCAGGAAGAAAAAAAATGACTGGCAAGACATGACAGAAATCTTACACCAACTGAAAACACTTCTGGAGTTGAGGCACAGTCATTGACCTCACTCCAGAACAACAGATATCAATGCCAGCAAATAAAAAAACCCTA